AATGGTCTGGAATCCTAGAGAATTACTGCACTTAAATTCCCAGTCAAGTTCAGTATTTGTGACTGAAACCTACATCTAAACCCTTCAGAGGCAAAAGCTTTATTCCGCAGCTGTCCACGTTTCCAGCCAGGCTCCTTCCCAGGCATGGAAACTTCAGTGCAGGTGGAAACGGGTTGCCCATGGATAAAGCTCAGGATGCCCTCTCCGCCTTCACCACTAATGGCTCCCAAAGAGGGCTTCCGGGCACTTCCCACCTTAAATGGCCAGGACCACTGAGTGGGGCTCACACTTGGAAATCGAAGTTGGTTCTCTTCCTCTGGTGTCAGCTGACTATCTCTTCACACAGGGGTTGGGCTTTTCTCACTTCCTAGGAGCTGGCTCAAGAGATGCCAGGAGGAGGGAGCAGGACGAAATTCACCCTCAGCCTGGTGTGCAGACCGTTATCGGGGGAGCACTGGATAATTAGGCCAAATAGAAGGCAGGCTTACGAGTGAGCTTCCTAGGTGCAGCAGGGGGGGTGCGGCTTTGTTCTTCTTCAATAAGACCCAGAGCGTAATGCTAATTGTTACTTTAGGTGTGTGGAGTGGAGACTATTTGCGAAGCAGGAGGGGAGTTCGTGGGCTGCGGCTAAGAGGGCATAATGAGTGTGGAAAGAGGAAAAGCTTCGGGTCCCTTAACCCAAAGCTCAGTTAAGACATCAAGTACATTCCCTGCAAATTGGCACTTTCAGCTCTAGCCTCCATGCTTTTGTTGCGCAGTCAAGGTAATGATCACCCATGCTGTGAGAAAGGCACACGGGCTGGCAGAAACCACTCACGGCACAAAGCATTCTTTGGTTAAAAAAAAAAAATTCATAAAATAAAAAAGAAAGCTGTTTAAGCTTAAAAACTAAAAAAGAAGTGGTTGGCTCCAGTTGTCGACATGTTTTATAAAGCAACAGCAAAATGAAAAAAATAAAAAGTAAACTGTCCCAGAGAACGGAGAGAGGGCCAAAAATATTAATACATGGGAACATGGCGAACCTTCTGCAAGCTGTAAATATTTTCTTAGTTTCCCACGTGTAGTCAGCAAGTACGGCAGTTCTTTTTCTCTCTCCGCTCTTCCTGTTGGAAATCTATGTGGAATAACAATTTTGCCAGGAAAAAAAAATTAGATTGAAGAAATTGTGTCTGCCAGGGGCTCGTGAATTGGTTTCATGTATCAGAGAGAGGGGGTTTCAACCCCCAGAGTGAGAGAAAAGGAGGAGGATATACAAAACAAAGAAAAACAGACCACCAGAGCTCAAAAATAAAAATAGAGTTTGATGTATGTGAATGTCTTAACTTGCTGAGCATGGGACATGGACCAGTGAAGAAAATCACTGAGGGCGGGGGCAGCACCAAAGGTTCGAGATGCCCAGCTCGATTTGAATTTCAGATAAGTGAGTGATTCCTTAGTAAACGTACAGTACACCCCCATGCAACTTGAGTTTAACTGGGCATCCTGTATTTTTATTTGCTGAATTTGGCCACACCACCAAGTGGGAAAGGTATTTCAGTGGTAGGAAGAGGAGCTCCCAGTGGTTCTGCTAATGAAGGATTGCTAATGCACATCATGACTGGACAGAGCGAGCTTGTGGGTCTGTTCATAGTTGGTTGAAACAAGAAAGGAACCTCAGGGGTGACCCAGGAGATGGGCGCCTCAGGATCTCTAAGTCTGTGTGTCAGCTGCAGTGACACACAGCAGGTACCAACATGACCCCACCAATGCTGCCATAAGAGGAAACTTTGCCTTCTACAGACACCACCTCGGAAAAACCTGGTCCTGCGCTGCTTCCTCAACCCTCACTTACTGCGTAGATTCACAGCCACACTTCAGCCTTAAAAGTCACCCCAGAAGAAAAAGGTATCTTCCCTAGTTACCAGAGAGAGGAAGACCCAGAAATGTCGGCTCTCCGTCTTCCCCAGGAGTTCTACCCCTAGGAAGGAAGAAAGGCTGCCCTCTGAGGCCAGGATTCCTCACTGAGCCAGTTCTCCTTTCTGCAAAATGGTCACAAGGTCCTCTGCAAGGGGTTGCCGTGACCATCGGTATGAGACCGCTCTCACATTGCTGCATAGAAATACCCGAGGCTGGGTAATTTATAAAGAAAAGAGGTTTCATTGGCTCACAGTTCTGCAGGCTGTATAAGAAGCATAATGTTGGCATCTGCTTGGCTTCTGGGGAGGCCTCAGGAAGCTGCAATCACAGCAGAAGGCCAAGGGGAAGTAGGTGCATCGCAGACCAGAGCAGGAGTGAGGGCATGGGGAAGGGGCCACACACTTATAAACAACCGGGTGTCGCAAGAACTCACTCATGATCGCAATGACAGTACCCAGGGGATGGTGCTACCCAGAGGATGAGGCAAACCCAAGACCTGAGCCTACGTCAGATCCCAAAACCCATTCATGAGAAATTCACCCGATGATCCAATGACCTCCCATCAGGCCCCACCTCCAACACTGGGGATTAGAATTCAACATGAGATTTGCAGGGAGCTCAGACCCAGACCATATCACCATCAAATAGAGCATGCAGGGAAGTGCTCCACAGGAGCTGGAAAATGCTGGTGCCCTGAGGGTGACCAGGACAGCCTCCGCCTCAGAGCAGAGCCCAGAGGGGCAGTCCCTGGTGTGTACAGCTCTGGGTCTTCCCTCACCTCTTGAGAAAGAGGGCACCCAGCCTTCCCAGGGGACAGCCTCCATCCACCAGCCATCCACAGCCTCTCCTTCAACACTGACATCCTCAAAAAGCAAACTCCTATTCCACCCAAAGCCACATTTCCGTCTCCCCACACCTTCAAGTGTCTTAGGTTGAGGGACCTGCCTGGCCCTGACGACAAATATGATGAACCAGGAGTGGAGCCCACCATTGTTTGGGAGCCCCGCTGTCAGGCTCCTGCAAAGCTCTCAGAAGTATAGCCATGATCCGCTTTTCCAAATGAGGAAATGGGGACTCAGAGTTGTTACGCAATGTGCCCAACATCATTGAGATGACACATGGCAAACCCGAGACCTGAGCCTACGTCGGATCCCAAAACCCGGACACTTTTCTAGTACTCTACCCATTTCCAGTCCTGAACCAAGGCTACCCTATGCAGATATTGCCAAGGATAATGGAGAAGACTGGCGAACTCGTATTCATTCTTGAAAACCCAACTCACTCATCGCCTTCTCCATCCTTTTCTGTCTCATCCAGGGCTGGCTCTGAATCACATGTGCCCTACCCTATTGTCATTTCATATAAAAGGCTGCATTGTCATGTAGTTGCATTCACATCCGCTTCCCTGCTAGACTGAACTCCTAGGAGACGAAGACTACCTGAACCTCCGTTTCTGTACCCATTACACTTCCATGGAACCTTCCAGCTGTACCGCCGCCTTTGCATTCTTCCAACACCCCGTGTTGGTCCTGCCTTGGGAACTATCCCCCACACTACATGCTCCGTGGGAAATTCTTCTGATCTTCCACAGCAGATCTGGGCCTACATATCTCCTCCTCAGACAAACCTGCCCTGACCACCTGTTTAACATAGTCCCACAGCCCCTCTCCCGTCTCTACCCCCGGCCTCATGCCCTGGTGTGAATCTTTCTCTAGCGCATCATGCCTCTCTCCCTGGCACCATGTCACACGTGCATTTGTTTCCTGGCTTCATTATCTGTCTTCCCACTCAACGTGTCAGCTCCAGGGAAGCAGGGATCTTGCAGGTCTGACTCCCTCCAGGCACCAGACACATCAAAATCTCTCAACACACATCCATAGGATGAAGGAACCCTCCGTGACTGGCATATATAGATGCTTGGTTAATGAATTTAGTCTTAATTAATCATCTTAACAGAAATGTCTCAAAACCTCCCGAGGGTGGAAGCAGAATTTGTTCTTACTACGTAATGGATCTTTCTTCCTAGCCATCCACTTATTTCTCCCCAGAATATCTTCCGCTCTGTTGTAGGAATGGTGACCTTGGAGAATAGTCCAGGAAGAAACCTGCAGCTTCCTGCCTGGAGATCTGTCCACCCTCTTCTAGCCCACTGGCTTGCAGTTGGCTCAGCCATGGGCCTGGGGTGTTAGATATTCATTAATTAATCAAATCAGCTCCAGTGCCAGCCTCTGCTTGCCCCCTCACTAATCCAGCTGAGGGACAGTTGGGACCGCCCCAATACCGGGCGGGGGCAGGCATTTCCAACAGCCAAGAAAAGCACCATGTGCTATGAAAGGAAAACACACCAGCTGAGCTCCCCTCAAAACACTGCACAAAAGAACAAATCTGTTAAGGGAGGAGGCCATGGAGACGGACCAGGGAGAGTCTCAGATACCCAACTGCTCGATCCACACACACTGGCGTCCTCCCAGGGCAGTGCCCTGGTAATTATCTGGGAAGCTCAGCTGAGTCATGCTCCCTACTTTCTCAGTCCCCCCAGGCAGGCTTTGCACACATGCTCATCTCATGGCTGCTCAACCAGAAAAATGACCCCCTACCTCGTGTAGATGATCCCCTTGCTGTTGTCGCAGACCCATTTTCCAGCTCTAGCTCCACAACAGTGGTGATATGGTGGAAACCCAGGAGGTCAATGAGTCAATCAACAAACACTGACTGAGCACCCCAGCCATAGACAGGGAAAGGTGATAGGCAGGGAAAAAGAGAGTGTAGGGTGGTGGGGTCCGGAGGTAACATTGTCCATGGATTTCATTTAGGGATTGTTATAAAGAGTGGATGCCAACCAAAATGCACATTTTCTCCAAAGACATGTGCGGTAATATTCACAGCAGCACTTTAGTGGTAGACAAAAACACAGTGCTCATCAGCAGCAGAATGGAATTCTATTCAGGAGCAGAAATGAGCGCTAGGGACACTCACAGCAGTGGGGATGGTCTCTCAACCACGACACTGGGCAAAGGCAGCCAGGCACAGAGGAGCATCTGGATAGTTCCACACACACAAAGTTCAACTCACGGCAAAGCTAGTCTTTGCAGAGGGAAGTCAATGAGATCCAGGGAGGAGCGGTGACCCTGGGGGCCGCCGGGGGAGGCTGGCAATGCTTTGTTTTCTAACCTCCAGGTGGTGGTTACAGGCGAGCCTTCCCTTTGACATACTTCATTAAGTCTGTACACTGGAGTTTGTCCACTTGTAGGTGTGCATACTTCCACTACGGATTTAAATTTTAAAAGGGGGCTGGGGTGTTAGGTCTGGAGGTTTCCCGAGGTTTTCTGCAGAGGAGCCAATGGGCTGAAAGGCGGACGAAGGACCCAGGCCGTGAGCGAAGGCTGGGAAAGCCCCGACCGTAGCGACGCCGCGAAAGTACAGCGACCCCACCCTCACCAGGGGCGGCGCCATCTCCGCTCCGAGTCCTGCGTTGCCTGGCAACCGGTCTCCCCGGAGACGCGAGACGCTGAGCCCAGGGCCTTTTTCGGGGCGCTCCGAGCCCCCAGGCCCCATGGCGCAGAAACCGCTCAGCACCGCGGCGGCTGAACGCATGAACCTTGTGGCTCAGGATGAGATCTGGTAACGCCTGGGATCCCATAACGCGGCGGGCTTCTGTTCCCACCTGAAGTGTGCACACCTGGCGGTCTCAGTTTCCCCACCAAATCCAGGGGGTGGTCGACCACTAAGCTCGAGGGGCGAGGGGCGTGTGCTGAGGATGGTCAGGGGCCTTGAGAAAAGGGGGCAACGTTAGGGACATGAGAGCGACAGGAGAGCCTTTCTCCCTCTCCCTCCCGCTCTCCTGTTAGGCCCACCACAGGAAGACGTGAGAGATTGGCTTTCAAGAGTCAGCACAGATTTGCTTGTCGAAATCCAACTAACATGTTCATGTTTTTTGTTTTCTTTTTTTTTTTTTCTTCAAACCTCAGCATCCAGCCAGAACATCTTCATGTTTTTAAGACTGATGGAATTTTTTTAATCTTAATATTTGTTCAATTTGAATGAAATACACGAAAATCTCTTGATTTTCCTGGGTTTTGAGTATATATTTTAACTTTAAAGATAGATCCATTTTCTAAAAGATGTATGTCCAGCAGATATTTGTCATGGATATTTTTAATTGACATGTTATCTGCTATGTATTATTGCATCTCTTTGAAGGTTTAACTCATAGGGGAAGTTACTGATTTAGATGCCAGTGGGTAAGATGTATTAACAACAAAACATACTTGTTTATCTTCTAAACCTCAGTTATCCTATTTACCCTCTCTATAATTTTTACCATTTTCTTGTAAAGCCTATATTAGTCACTTCATATTTGTCTTTAAATTGATTTCACTTGATAAACTGATTTTACGGAAAACTTTATATCACTCTCATAAGTAGAAAACCTTTATCATTTGGCATAAAATGCACACTATTTTTTACAAAATCTTTATCCAAGCATCCCAACAGGAGATGCTACCACAACAGGATCTCTTCCCTCTGTCTGAAGTGTCCCCTTCTCTCTTCTTCACCAGACAAACTTCTGTTCATCCTTCAAGACCCAAATCTAAATGGCCTCTCCTCTTTGAACAGGGCCCATGGCAGTTGAACATTTAAATTGTAACTGGTCCAAACTGGGTTGAGCTGTAAGAGTAAACTGCACGACAAATATCAAAGATTCATACAAAAAAAAAGAGTATTTAAATGACTGCTGGCCGGGCGCGGTGGCTCACGCCTGTAACCCCAGCACTTTGGAAGGCCAAGGTGGGCAGATCACCTGAGATCAGGAGTTCAAGACCAGCCTGGCCAACATGGTGAAATCCTGTCTCTACTAAAAATACAAAATTAGCTGGGTGTGGTGGCACGTGCCTGTAATCCCAGCTACTCAGGAGGTTGAGGCAGGAGAATTGCTTGAACCCAGGAGGCAGAGGTTGCAGTGAGCTGAGATCATACCATTGCACTCCATCCTCGGCAAAAAAGAACAAACCTCCATCTCAAAAAAAAAAAAAGTGTCACCTGTTTATTTTGATGTTCTTTTTAATGTAGCTACTAGAACATTTAAAATTGTGTATGCAGCTCATGTTTGTGGCTTATGTTACATCTTGATTGAAATAGACTCTGCCTTACATGCTCACTGCCCAGTGAAAAGAGTTGACCAGGGTCTCCAAAACTGCGGGATGGGGATATGCAGATATTGATTCCAAAATAGAAGAAACTAGAAAAATCCAAATAACTAAATGTTTAATTGGATGTTTGCAAAATGTGACATGCCAGCTCGTCTACTGCAATTCCACTCAGCTTGTGGGTAGATATAAACAATATTAGCATGGGGCAAAGCAAGGTCAGATTAGGGTGGGGCAAGTGTGACACCTGGGCTGCAATATTTCGGAAATGCACAATGTCAAGGTCATACAGATGCTGACCCTGCACCTGCAGGAGGCAGGGAGTGAGCACCTCCTTTTCTTTTGCACCTCCTTAAATTTGGGGTCGTAGGGGCCCCCAAAATAAGAGGTCTGGTACCTAGAAGGCCCCTCAGGAAGAATCGGCCCCTAGACCTGTCCTTACCCGGCACGCCCTCCCAGCCGTAACAGCCAACCAGCATCTCTCTTTCCTGAGCCGTGTGCCTCCCTTGCTGATGGGAGGCGCTCAGTGGTGGAGGTTCTCACACTCTCTGGCACCTCAGTCCATCCCTGGTGCAGAACCACTACCCAGTCGATGTTCATGGAAAATGGAAATGCTCCCCCACAGACCCCTTGAACCTTTTTCCATGTTGCCCAACACTCAGGAACCTTCTTTTTCAGGAGATACCGTCTGAAGGCTGAATCAGAAGCACGGCAGAACTGGCCCCAGAACTGGGGTTTTTTAACAACCCCTTTTGAAGAGGTAAATATAAATTTTATAAGCCTCGAGTTTATAGAATCAATCATTTCAAAGAATGAATGACTGCAAAGTCTATAATTTGCAAGAATGAAATTAAAGAGCATGTTGGAAAGACCGCTAACTCTGAAACCAGAAGCTTCCCGCCTTTCACAGATTTTTGAGCACTGACCGCATGCCAGGCATGTTCTACGTGCTTTGGCAGAACCGCCTGATCGAATCTGTACAAGAACCTCTGTGCAGAAACAGGTGCTGTTTTATGCCCATTTTACAAATTCAGAAACTGAGCTCCAAGAACTGCAGTCACACAATTGATAAGGACCACACCCAGGTGAGAAGCTGGTGGGTCTGATGCCATGGCCATCTGACCTCAGACTTCCCATCTGTAAAGTGGGATGAGTCCTCGCCTGCCTAACTGAGTGACTGTGAGTTTGCAGGTACAAGAAAGCCATGGAGATGTCGCCCGGCCAGAAGGCCAAATGACCTATGAGGGATTCTTGGGAAAATGCTGTCAGTATTCCCTAAAGATTACAAGTCCCAAAGTCTACAGGGACCAGATAGGTGACAGAAACAGGAGATAGGGCCAAGCATAATTAATCGGAAGGGGTGGGGACTCAGGCAAAGAGGCCACTGGTCCTGTCCAAAGAGGCAGCCAGCATGAGCCCAGCCAAGTGCAACCACATGGGAAGGCCAACTGCATAGTCCCATTACTTAAGAGAGTCCAGAAAGCGAGATGTTTACATGAAATCTTCTGCATCTAGAAATGAAATGCTTATGTGGGCTCCGGTGGGGTGCTTATGTGGCCACCAATCTGCAACCTCTCAAACTTCAGGACAGAACACGAGGAAAATACATTTCTTTGGAGAGACGCAGAATTAATTAAAACACCACATCACTCAAAGCATCCATGATTCACAGCAGCATAAACCCCATTGGTAATTCATCCCACCCCACTAGCTTTGAAATTATGCCGCTCTTAATGAGGGTGTTTTTAATTCTTAGAGGGTTCTACAATTTGAAATGCTATGCATAGAATGAGTTCTTATTAATATAATATGCATAGTCTATATTAATATTCCTTATATGTAATTAAATTGTGTTTCCAAAAAGCTTGACATTGCTTTAAAAATTAAAAGGGGGAGTGGAGGCTCTCCTCTAATATTTTAAAGGTTGGTCCTGAAAACATGTTGGCATTTTTGTTAGATTGTTTATTGTTGTTGTTGTTTGAGACAGGGTCTGGGTCTGTCACTCAGGCTGGAGAGCATGACCTCAGCTCCCTTCAACATCCACCTCCAAGCCCAAGCCATCCTGTCACCTCGTCCCAAGTAGCTGTGACCGCAGGCACATGCCACCATGCCTGGCTACTTTTTGTATTTTTTTGTAGAGACGGGGTCTTGCTAAGTTGCCCAGGCTGGTCTTGAACTCTTGAGCTCAAGCAATCCTCCAACCTCAACCTCCCAAAGTGCTGGGATTACAGGCATGAGCCATCACACTCAACCCTTTTTGACATTTTTAAATTTGAGTCTATAACTGGCAACATTTTCTCAAATTCCCCCACAGGGGATATCAATCAGGAGGCTTCGGTGAGCAACAGGAGGGGTCGGAGACTGGTCTCGGCTTTGGGTGCAGCAGGCCTGTGTTGAGGTCCCCACCCTACTTTCCTAGAGGCGTAACTGAAACAAGCCCTTGCCTCCCGTTTCTATGCCCCAATTCTGTGCCTGCAAAATGTGCATTTTGGGGGAAGCAATGGAGAGGACACTTCCCCAGCTTCAGCCTGAGGCTTCCCGTCTCTGGGGATTCTATTTCAGTTGATCAAGGGTGACGAAGAACTCCCCAGCCCAAAGCCCAAAATCGAGCTTCCTGAGCATTTCCACATCCGGCCGGTGACCCCAGTGGAGAAGTACATCAAGGTTTGAAACGTTGTTTTTAAATACTCATTTTCCTAAGTAAGAAATAAGCCCCAATGGAAACCGATGGCTCCAGGTATGCAAAGCTAGCGTTGAAGGTAAGAGCACAGCGGTGCTGGGTGCAGCGTCCGGGTCCATGCCCTTCCCAAACCCAGCTGTGGGAAACACGCCAGGTAAAGTCTACACGTGTGAGTGCCATGACCTCCTGCTCTGCAGAAGCAGAGAGAAGCCAGGAAAATGGGGTCTCCCTTTTTCCTGGGAAATGTTGCATCCTTTCAGCAAACATTTCCAGGGTGTGGGCAGGAAGGCAGGGCAGGTCCAGGCAGGGGCTCTGGAATCAGACCACCAGATCCCAGCGCTGTTAGGCTGCTCACCTCCTGTGTGGTCTTGGGCAAGTGGCTTGACCTCTCTCTCTGTGTCTCCCCTGCCTGTCTTACACAATGGGGGTTAATGGAGCACCTACTTCAGGGAGTGCCGTCAGGCACTCAGTGCTTAGCGGGGTGCCCAGCATGTTCAGAGAGTGCCAGTGACAGTCAGTTATTACTAAGGTGCAAGAGCTTGGTTGGGAAAACAGTAATGAACAAGAAAACAAGACCCCAGCCCATGTGTCTGGGTCTGGAGAACCAACATTAGCCAAGAAAATCAACTCCATTTGGATATGCTGTGCCAGCGCCACAGAGGAAGCAGGCCAGCGCTGTGTTACAGGGCAAGAGAACTGAAGGATGACCGGGCACCAGCCCTAGGAAAAGTATTCTAGACACAGGGAACAGCATGTACGAGAGCCCTGAGGTGGACACAGGCTGCTATGTTTCAGGAACGGCAAGGCAAGGCGATGTGGCTGGAGCTTACAGAGCCTGGGTGGCTGGTGGAGCGGGTGGGGCAGGAAGGGAAGGTGTGAGCAGAGAAGGGATGTGAGTGGAGAAGTGGGCAGGCTAGAAGAGGGAGTTGCAATTGGAGTCGAATGGACAGCAGAAGCCGCTGGAGGGTTGTAGGTAGGGCTGTGGAAGCACGAGACCTGCCTATTGCAACGATGGCTCCCACTGCTAAGTGGAGAAAAGCTGGTGGGGAGAGGGACAGGAGTGATGGGGCAAGCCCAGAGAAGAGAGGCCTTAGGCAGCGTTCCCACCTGAAGCCTCCACCGCGGTGGACACGGTCAGATCCCTCTACAAGCTATTGAGCTCCCTACATCTGCAGGCCTGTCTCATGGGTCTGTCATTTTGGTCCGGGGTTCTGCCCTCTGTCCAGCTTTGGAGAAGGCAGTTCTGCATGCTGACCGAGAGAGTAGATGAAAATCCAAGATGAAGGCCGCAGGGCAGGGGGAGTTCAGCTGCAGGCCCTTTTCCTGCCATGCCCACAGTCTGATGGGGTGGCTGGCATGCAGTGAGCATTTGGTGGGTGTGCATCTGTGAGCCCCAACACAGGAATGAATGAATGCGCTGCATTGAGTTATGGTGACAGTTTTTCCCCCGATTATAAAGCAATATAGATTCACCAGCAAAAAATATTTAGAAATACAGCAAAATATAAGCAATAAGATAATTAAAACACCCATGTAGACTCTCACCCATGATGAACATGGAGTGCTCCTTCCAGAGGTTTCCCACGCATCTCTCAACCTATAAGAGTAAGCACCCCATCAGCTTGAGTTACTATTATCTCTTAGCCACTCACTGTGCTGACTGCTTTGCATGGGCTGTCTCGCCTTATTTCCACTGCGAACCCGGATATTATCACCCGCAAACCCATTTTGCAGATGGGAAAACTGAAGCTTAAAAAAAAAGTTGAATTCCTTTCCCAGGCCACACAGCAAGTGTGTCTGATTCCAGAGTTCTGCTCTTAAATGTCAAGCTCACCTATTCCTCAAATGTATGTCCATGTGTATGTATATATACACACCTGTGCACACACACACACACATATATTTTTCAAATATATGTCTACAAATCAAACTGCACAGGCTGCTTTGTAGTCTCATTTTTTCACTTAACAACATATGCTGGACATCCTCCCATGAGGTTAAGAAAAGCACTCCAAACCACTGTCATATGAATGGCTGCATCTTTCTCCACTGAGTGGATCTGTCTTAATTTATTGAACCGTCCCCCTATACCTGGGCATCGAAGTTGTAGCTAGCATGGGATTTAGGAGAATAGCACTGCAAGGAGCACCCTTGTAGACACAGCAGTTAGCTCCGGGTCAGTAATTTTCTTGGAATTAGTGCCTAGAAAAGTGATTGTTCAGATGAAATGCACATTTAGGGAGCTCAACCTCCTGTGGCCTAGAACCCTGGGCTGGCTGGAGAACAGAGGAAGAGAGGCTGGCACATGAGTCTGACGTTTTTTCCAGAGCTGTGTTTTAATTCTGCCAACCTCCACCCCAGGGGAGAATACAGTGGCGCGGGACCTGCTTAGGGTCAGTAGTGTCCCTTGGCTACATGCTGTCTCCACAGATACCTGGCCTGCCCATGAGACCGGACCCTCCCTCTGCCACCAGGGCCACTGGGGCTGCTCTGTGCAACCACAACTATTCCTTTGTCAAAGAAAGTGCCCCGCCTAGATACCAGAGAGGCGCCCCCTCCTGGAGGACGGGAAACAGAGAGGAACTGTCCAGGCACCAGAACAAACTGAAACATGGTTTTCTCCTGTGAGAGGCTCCTGTCTAGGAGCAAGGGCCAGCTGTTAAAGTCACACTCACCAGACAGAGCCTGTGGGGTGGCAGGGGTAAGGACAAGGACCTTGATTCAGGTGAGAAAAGTCCCCAGCCTCTGCTTCCCTCCAAACTTCCTTCCTTGCCCAAGAAATGGTGACTGGCTTCCTTCTTCCAACTTCCCATCCTCTCATTGGTGACCAGGGCCTTTAAAAATGTATTTATTTTTAATAGGTAACCTTGATACCTAAAAAGGCATGTGATGAGATGCCTCCTTTCCTCTGGAACCCTGGAGCCACTGTCACCAATTTGTCACGCACTCTTGCATAGACTAGGACATTCACGGGCCTCTGGCCTCATTTTCTTATCACACAGCCTGCACCGTACTTTGAATAGTTTGTGCATCTCTTTTCTCCTGGAAGTTTATCTCATCCTTCTAAACCATTGCATGGTTACCATGCTGTGGATGGGCCATAGTGAATGAGCCTCCATGGGTGAATATGTAGCTTATGCCCAATCATTTGCTATTACAAACAGCTCTGCAAGGCATCCCTTGCACCACCATGAATGTGTACATGTGTAGCTATCAGGATCTTAGAATGAATGACTCAGAACAGATTGTTGGATCAAAGGCTGTTTGCATCTGCACTTTCAAAAAATAATTGCCAGGCCGGGCACGTTGGCTCATGCTTGTAATCCCAACACTTAGGGAGGCCAAGGCTGGTGGATCATCTGATGGCTGGAGTCCGAGGTCAACCTGGCCAACCTGGTAAACCCCATCTCTACTAAAAATACAAAAATTAGCCTGGTGCAGTGGCACGTGCCTATAGTCCCAGCTACTCAGGAGGCTGAGACAGGAGAATCGCTTGAACCCAGGAGGCAGAGGTTGCAGTGAGCTGAGATCACGCCATTGCACTCCAGCCTGGGTGATGATGGGGCAAGAGTCCGTCTCAAAAAAGAAAAAAAAGATAATGGCCATATTGCCCTTACTCCTATAACGCCCGTGTTAATGGTGCTGTTTTCATCTTTTGTCCCTCTGCTGGGTGAGATATGATGTCTCATGGTGAATTTCAACTGCATTTCTTTTGCAAGTTAGATGAAGACTTGGAAGTTAGTCTGTGTGCTCCCAAAGGCCTGGCTGGACAAACAGCATTGAGGGCTGCTCCCCTTCTGAACAATTCTGCCTGTAGCTGGTTTGAGGAAGCTTTGGCCCCTCTGGCATTCATTGATGACCCGCCCTACATGTAGCCTTGCAGGAGACTAATTTCAGGAGTTCATCAAGAACATGTGTTAAGGGGCTTCATCCACCACCAGCAGCAGCCAGCCCACTCGGGGCCTTCTCCCGCTGCCACTGCCTCACCAGCAGGTTCCATTAGTAAGAGTGAACTCATAACCCCAAGCATATTAAACCTCTTCATCTCAGTTCTTCTGCTAGAACAAATATCCCGCACTGTGGCCTTTGTTCACATCCCCTTATAAGAGCAGAACAGATCATTTCAAAAGAAGGGGAAATCCTGCCTAAACATTTACCCTCATTTTCCAAAAATGTCAAATCTGTCCAAGGAATTGACAAATGAAATTGTGTTTTTTCACTCCAGATAGAAGCCCATTTTCCTTTTGGTTTTTAAAATTAAATTCAGTTGCTTTTCATTCCTGTGATCTCCACGGTTTGCAGTGTGTGTGTATATACACAGACATATTGTAGAGCCTCCTCATCAAAACAGGGTGAGGTACACCTGCCACAATGCCATCTGACAATAGTGCCATGTATTTTATAAAGGGCAGTGAGAGCTGTAGCACTTGATATTTCTGCATCTTATCTTTTCTTTTCTTTTTTTTTTTTTTTTTTTTTTTTTGCTTTCTTGCCAAATAAAAATGATTTTGCTAGAGGTCATGAATTAAATATGTTAGCCATTACAAGATAAAGAAACGCATTTGATGTTCATCACTTCCAGGAAAGATGATGTGCGCCTCCGAGTCCACCTTATTGGAACGTGCTTGTTTTCAGTATGCATCAGGGAGGCTGGCTCTTCTTTCTGTCTTTTCCACCCCTGCCTCACATGCTGATGCTGGGTGCCTAGTGTCTCTGTGTCCTAAGGTCACTAAACCCCCTGAGTTTCCATTCCAGATCCTTCCATCTCCACCAGTCCCACAGACCACCCAGGGCTTCATCGGCTGGAGATCCGCAGTGCCAGGCCTGAACAAGTGCCTGGAGCTGGACGATGAGATCAGAAGCTGCAAAGGGGCATTTGCACGAGAGCTGTGCTGGCCTAAGCAGGGCGTGCACTGAGTCCAGACGGAGCTTCCAACCCGGGGTGCTGCATGTCGGTCGCCAGGCACCCGGGGCCATGCCAAGGAAAGGAAGATCTCTCCTGAATCCCCGAGGACACAGTCCTCTACAGACTTGCTCATGGGATGTTGCAAAGAACACAAAGTGTGCCTTAGACATTCTCAACCCATCAGTCTCGCCCTTCCAGAATGTTCACGTCCACTCCCATTCTTGGCTAATGTAATAAATAAGTCTTCTCTCATTTGTTTTTAATACCTTGGGAATTTCTATGCAGGGCTTTAAAAAAAAAGTGATTCCATTTTAAAAATATTTGTCTAGGTCCTTTAATGTAGCTTTCAATTGTACTCATCACTATCCTTATTTATAATGAATTTGTTGATCAGGTGTTTCTGTATCCAGATATCCCTGGGCCTGTATTTCAAGAAGAATCCCTGAGATCTCCTTGCTCAAGATATTCACGATAAGTTAACAGCTTTAAAGGCAGAAACGAGGCCAAGATTTCAAGGAGAAAATGGGCTTCCCAAGCCCTCTAAGAAACCCACCGCTGGTGACTTGTCCCAGCCACCCCCAGCCCAGCACAGAAAGCTCCAGGCTGGCCAACTGGGCCATTTTCCTTCCCCCAAAACATCAACCCTACAGTTATCATCTTCTTTCTGAATGTTGCCTAGCTGTCTCTCTTCTCCTAGTCCTACAAATGGGGGCTGGGGGCATGCAGTGTCCAGCTGGCGAGAAGAAAAAGCCAGCATGTCCTCAGTACTCATGAACTGGACCCCAAAAAGTAGGAGAGCAGAGTTTGCAGCAGCCTGTGGCAGCTGGTTTGCATTTCATTTCTGAGGAGTAAGGGGTTGGTGCGCTCTTCAGACCTGGCATAGACAGGGCAGGAGGGGTATGTTCAGTTACCCACCCTCCACGGAGGCACAGGCCTTCCTCCCCTTTGTTGGTCAAGACTCACTGTTCCTGGGACTGGGGCCCAAGGGGACTTCCATTGGGTGGGACCCATTTACAAGGCCCATCCACCCAAACACGTCCTGTTCACCTTCCCGCCCAGCCGTGGATGGATGTGCTGGAGCCAACCCAGGAATCCCTCCACTAAGTCCTCTGAGAACCTAACTCCTCTAAGCCCTGAAAACTGGCTGCCACCCCTCTGGCATGTTCCTAAAGGGACTCCATGATTTGAGGGGCACTAAATACTAGGGGACAGCTGGGACCCCAAATCTCAGAAGCCCCAGCAGAAGAGCTGCTCTTATTCAGGGACTCTGTTCTCTATAAAAACTACCAGCCTTCCTCTTTCCAAGGGTCTGGCTGCAGACACCAACTACTCTGTGCTGAGAACAGTGCCACATAGCAGAAGCCTTCCCCCAGCCACTTAGATGATTCCCGTCTCCCCACACCCCTTCTTCCACCCCAGAGTGGGAAACTCCTAGGTCGGCATGGGCTGCCCAGCCTGGAAGAGCTGAGACCCAAGAGAACAGCCCTTCAAGGAGCCTTTGTCATTACCTCAGAGTATGGTGCCCACACACATTGTTGGGCATAGGGGCCATCGAGAAACTTCATGGCTACTCAGGTTCTGAGAAAAAGGAACAAGGTATTTGGTTGAACTGTGTCCCCCAGAAAGATATGTTGACGTCCTAGCCTCCAGTATCCACAGAGATGAACTTAGCTGGAAACAAGGTCATGGCAGATGTGATTAGTTAGATGAAGAGGCGTCATATAGGAGAAGGGTGGACTCTTAATCCATGTGACCCATGTCCTCATGAGGAGAGAGTGACGTGCAGGGAGGACACGCCATGCGGAAAGGCAGACATGCGGGAGAGGGCACCACGCCATGGCAGAGCAGAAATGGGAGGGATGCACCTACCCACCACAGGATGCCAACATTTGCAGGCAAACCGTGAGAAACTAGGAAGGCGTCAGGAAGGATTCTACCCCATAGATTTCAGAGGGTGCATGGCCATGCTGATGCCTTAACTTCAGACTTCTGGGCCCCAGAACAGAGAGAAAACATGTCTGTTGCTTTATGCTGCCCCATGTGGGGTACTAGGTACCGCAGCCCCAGGAAATGAATATTGCCTTGAACACAGGCTGCCTCCTCCTCTCCTCCCCTACTCAGAAAACATCCCCCTCTGACCATGTGTCTTTCATTGATCTTGATCCGGGCTGTGTCTATAAGAGACCAGATCACGTGGCCCCTCAGACTCCAAAGATGTTTCCAATCACCCAGAGGTTTTAGCCTGATATAGACTAAACAACTGAATGCTTGGCCAAGCCTGCCTCTATTAAATCCCAATGTTTTAGCATCCGAGTCGTCGCTGCAGGCAAAGCCTCTGCCCTTAGAGGAACATTTGTCCTTGTGATCAGACACCTCCACCACAGTCAGGCAGTGGCCAGAAAGCGTGATTGCTTGGTACTGACCTCCATCTCAGCTGCATTTCTGCCCCATTGCCACAGCAGAGACAATACCCACCCTGGTGGGGGATGAACTTCCAATGGCAGGTTGTCGTTTGTTCTAATTCTCGATCACAGAACAAATCTAGGAGTCATCGTCCATGTCATGTGCATGCCCACAACAGGTGGCAGCAAAAATCTAGCACAAAAGGTGGGCTCCCTTACCCTGTCCTCACCCCTAGCCTGGACAGGAAATCAACATGTCCATTTTTACTCTTCTGAAACTTGGGGGTGAATTAACTTTCACCCTGGTTTCCACTGTCTGGTGTATGTTGGCCAACAGCCCTCTCTTTTAGGGAGACTGGTCAGCAGATATAGCTGGTGGAGATGATTACAGTGGAGCTGAGAAGGCCACGCCACTGTGTGGACAGCTGAGCCTGCAGAAGGACCAGAAATCCCAGTGAGGAAGGCCTCTGAGGCTGGCCTCATACCTCCTGGCCACAGTGCACCAGTGGAGGAAATGGGTGCGGTGTACCCATGTTGGATCCATTTAACTCCAGTTCCTTGTGAGGACAAAAATTCAAAAGACTCAGATCAAAGTCTGAAGACACGTATGTTCTCTGGACAATCAGAAGGTGAATATCTTTCAATAGCTTGGGAATTATTTGATGCTTTTTTTGTTACCCTTCAATTTAAATGAAGCTCACTCCAAATTTATGTGCATGTGTTTAAAACTATTCCTACTTAAGTAGGAGTCACCAACTAACCACATATGTGCTTGCATTTAAAGAAATAAAAACAAGCAACATTTCTGCAGGTATCAAACTCCCATGCCATGGTCCTCCCTACCGACCTGGACTCACAGAATGACCTTTAGGCATTAAGCGATTTGGGCTGCACTTGTGAGTTTGTAACGGAGCACAAATGTCCAGTCAACAGCCCCAGTTGAGAATCTAAGTGGACAACATTCAAGGATTCAATTACCCTGGAAGGCTTCAAACTTGACATTTAATCTATGGAAATCAACCTCTTTGTGGGTGTCCAAATGGGCCCATAAATGTCACCACACACTGTAAAATACCACAACATTTCCAAGGTCAAGACAAGGCTGGTGAACCTGCATCCGCGATGCCGAAATACATCACAGCAATGAACCACCAGACGGGCCTCGGTCAACATGAACCATCTCTGAAATGATGCAAAACATAATTAGGCTGGGGACTCAGAATGGATTCTGTCACAAGCACATTTCAGCCCAAGACAAATTAGAAACTCCTAAGTTTGAGTTAGAAGAAAATGACATGATCAACTATAAAATTTTGGAAAACACACTCTTGCTCTTAAATATCAACCCACACCTGAGAATCACTGTCATGATGGACTCCGGGTTTTTGGTACCCAAAGCCTGAGACAAGATTGTTGGGGAATTTATAATTTTGTATGTTTTAGAAACTGCATATGCTATATATTATACATAAGCCCTCTGGCAAGGTCTGAGGCAGCCCCTTGAAATGAAATCCATTAATATTTTTATAGCTAGACTTACGCATATTCACACTCAGTGAAATAAAGCCTCAAAGGAGCCACATATGAGTTTGTTCAGGTTTTGTCAAAAAAGTGAGTCTTGGTTTCAAACTAATAAGAATATTTCTAGGTTTTAGAGCACTTTGTAATTCAAAACTGTTAAGAGATTTGGGACATATAATGTCATCAACAGAAAATGCTGTAAGGATGGTTCCTTAGATCTGCTTTAGTTATGAACTTGGATCAGGACTCTCTTGGTTTTAAGAGGAAGAAACTCAACCCCTAGCCTAAGTACAAAAGGAATGTTTTTCCTCATGTAACTAGAAAGCTCAAAAGTAGGTGTGCTTTCAGACACAGCTTGATCAGGGATTCAAACAATATTACCAAGACCCAGGACATTTCTGCTTCAAGTTCCTTCAGGTTGGTCTATCTGACTGCTTTCAACGGCAAGTAACATGGCCCAGCATTGCTAAAATGATAAGGCAATTTCTTGGATCACAGAGAGGGGGCCCAGAGGTAGACCAAGCACGAGGGCTAGTCTAGTAACTCAAAGTGAGCAAGGATCTGCATGCTTTTAACCTCCTCTCTCCACTGTGCCACTTACAGTGCCAGCCTCATCCGAAGGCTGGCTTTCTTCCTGGCTGTAGGATGGGCACCGTCAGCAGCCCAGGGCACAGGCTTTCTTGCTCACCTCTGGCAATAAAAAGAGGGAGGGGTTTCCCACTCAACTCCTCTGGGGTCTCATTGGCCAGAAAAGAATCATGTCCTCATTCCTGAGTAAATCACAGCTTTAGCTCCCTTGGGCCAAACAAGCCAAGCCCTTCCCACACTGCACTGTGACTCTGCAGTAGGAGGCAGTGGCACGTCTACCGTCACTCACGTGCCTCATGGTCACAAAGGCTGCAGCAGCTCCCCACTTCTCTCTTGCTTTCAGCTTCAAGTAGGGCAGGAAGAATGCCCAGAGGCTGTTTCTCAGGATTCCCAACAAAAGTCTCATTGATTCCAGTTGGGTTACATGTCCCTTCCTGAATCCATCAGTGTCACCCAAGAAATGAAGTTCACTGATTGGCTTCATCCTTGGCTGCACCCTGACATGGAGTAGGCCACAGCACACCGGGCACATAAGTCAAACCAGAGGAAGACATCTCCCCAGATGGAAGCCTGGAGGTGGTTCCCAAAACTAAGGAGAATGGAAGCTGCATGGTAAAGACAGTTCACAAAGCAAGCACCGGCTACAGAGCCTGAAAATGAAGTTTTCAGGACCTCGTGTTTAGTTGTGATTATCAGATAGCTTCAATTCACTTTGGCCAACGTGGCAGGCAGCCTCTGAGATGGCCCCAGGATCCTCACCTCCTGATATTCACACCCTTGGGTAGTCCATGCCCCTTGAGGGTGGGGGGACGTAGTGATTC